TTATCAAAATTATAGTATTTCGGAATATCGGAACGTAGAAACGAAAAATTTGTGTGGTGTATCCACCAACAAAATGGTGGACACAAAATGGTGGATGAAAATATTCTGTTGAATGGTCAACATTTTATCTAAGCCGATACACAAAGTTTACAAGGTTACATTAGGGTTTTTAGGTCGTAGATAACGAATCCGAGGTCGGTTACCCTCTATCATATGAGGTTCAAGGTTATTCGAAGGTCAAGTCGCAGTAAATTAAGAAAAAAAATCTGAAAACATTAGATGTTAATTTTTTGGATCACTGCTTAACCGTAAAAGGTCACGTACAGGTCAACTGATATATTTAAGATATTGATATAGTGAAATATGGATTCTGCTTCATAATTAGATTGCCAATTTCTTTGATACTGCAACTTATAAAGCGTTCGACTTTTTTTTTATAGTATTATTTATTTTTACCCTAATCACATCGGTTTTGTCCGGACTTTGGACGCGAGATATTTGGACCCAAACCCTATTTAATTAAAAAAGGAAAGTAAATATCTTAAGTGAAGATGTTACAAGTAGCTGTGACGAACTATAATTATAAGAAAGCTGTTGTTCTAGAAACGGTCACCGAAAATCTGAAATTTAACTATCGCAGCAGACTCGACTGTAGTTCGCAGGGAGTATTTCAAATTTTTAAAAACAGATTGATTAAAATTTTCATTGGCTAAAGAGGAAGAAGGAAGGTCGTAAGCGCTTACAAAATAAGATGCATTCAAGGGAAAGGGGATCGTTAGTTTGGTAGTAGTGACAGTCCTAAAGACCCTTTTTACAAAGGTGTAATAAATTATCAAAGCTCGGAGCACGCACGAGCATAAAAACCAATTACGAGGGTGGTCCGATAAGTACTTAGCCTCACCGCCCGATGGCGCCACTCTCGCAAAAGAAATATTCTATCACGTAGTACAACCTTCTCGATGGTTACTGTCAAGATTTCAGCCGGATCGGAGTTATAGTTTATTTTTGAGAGCGTGTGAAAGCAAGTGTGTCCGTTGATTTTTGAAAAATGGAAAAAGAGCAGTATCGGTCGGTGATTCGATTCTTGTTTTTGGAAGGGAAATCGCGCAGCGAAATCAAAAAGCGCTTGGATGCTGTGTACGGTGACTCTTCTCCTTCGATTGGTTTAACGAGTTTCAAGTGATCGCACGTCGATTTTTGAAGAGCCACGTCCAGCTGCTCCGAAAACGGCTACTACGGAGGATAACGTGACAAAAATTCATGATCTCGTATAGGCAGATCAACGATTGAAGGTGCGCGAGATAGCTAAGATCGTAGGCATCTCAAAAGACCGCGTGGATCATGTCCTGCATGAAATTTTGGGCATGAGAAAGCTGTCGGCGCGATGGGTGCCGCGTTTGCTTACTCCGGACCACAAACGCAATCGTGAAACAACTTCAGAGCAATGTCTGACGCTGTTTAAGCGCAATCCGAAGGAGTTTCTGCGTCGTTTCGTGACAGTCGACGAAACATGGATCCACTGGTATACACCAGAGACCAAGGAAGAGTCGAAACAGTGGACTTTCCCCGGCGAAAGTGCTCTGAAGAAGGCGAAGACTGCGCCATTGGCCGGAAAGGGGATGGCCACCATTTTCTGGGATTCACAAGGTGTGATCTACATCGACTACCTGGAGAGGGGCAAAACGGTCACAGGGCTGTACTATGCTGAATTATTGGGCCGATTCGACGTCGAATTGCAGAAAAAACGGCCCCATTTGCCGAAGAAAAAAGTTCTCTTCCACCATGACAACGCACCGGCTCACACCTCCGCCGTCGCCATGGCCAAATTGGTCGAATTAGGCTACGAACTGCTGCCCCATGTACCGTATTCTCCAGATTTAGCCCCGTGCGACTTCTTTTTGTTTCCAAACTTGAAAAAGTCACTCGCCGGGCAGAAATTTGAGTCGAATGCGGAGGTAATCGCTGCCACGGAAGCCTACTTTTCAGACCTCGAGGAAACGTATTTTTCAGGCGGGTTGAAGAAGTTGGAGCATCGCTGGGCCAAGTGTATCGAACTAAAAGGAGACTATGTTGAAAAATAAAACGCCACTTTTCCAAAATTTTCGTTTTTCTCTTGTAGGCTAAGTACTTATCGGACCACCCTCGTGAGTGACATACAATGTACACGTGTTTTGTCTTAATATTCCTGATGAAAAACAAGTAAATTAGTTTACAAGAGTAAAAATAAGTAAATGAGTATATAAAGTTTTATTATTTTGGCGGAGAACGTAACTATTTTGAATTTCAGAAAAAGGTTTTCTTTACAAGTTTCAACTCGCTTCGAAGAGGAAATAGTATTATTACGTGCAATCATAAGTAAACTATCAGTAGGTTGTGAACTGACGTTTTTCTCGAATATATATTCATTTTATACATTATTTTGTGATTTGCGGATGGAAAAATCAATTAGTTTGCCAAGCTTGGCAAAAAAAATCATTGAAATATTTAGTGTTTTGCTCGGAAGGCTTTGAGAAATTATTGAATCTTCAAATTTAAAGAAGTATTACATGTATTCTACAAAAAAAAATAGATCGGAAACCTGCATCACATGTTTAAAAACAATTTTTGGTTACCCTTAAATCTAAAAAAAAATTACATTCCACCAAATGTACACGGTTACTACAATAAACGGCGTGGTTTCCGTTCTACCACCGTGTTATTTCAAATATTACCAGAAAACAAAATGAGGTTTTACAACATGTGATACATGTTTTTGATATGCTTTTTCTGTAGAATACAATAATTTTCTCAAAAAACTTAAACTCACAATGGTACGATCGAAATGAACAGGAGAAAATCGTGTAAAATATGAGATTATCTTTGCACAGCAATACATATTTCTGGATGAATAAAGCAAGATGGCATATTGTGGTTCGGTAGAGCGATAGCTTAAGTGACTCCAAATAACATATCAAGAATTTACGCAAATGAAAGATGGCTTTTGGAGAAAATTCATTTTGAAAAGAAATGATTTTTTTGAGATATTCCGATTTTTCTCAGCTATTTCCCAAGCAATCAGAGGAAACCACATAAAAGCTGGATGATTTGGATTTGGACTGAAATTACGGCCATTTGAAAAAAATGTCAATTTGTATTCTTGTAATATCGATTTTTCGATGAATAATTTCATGTGGCTATACAGGTGTAACGTCGGGGTCACTCTCAGGTACGCTTGGAGTAAGCGTAAACTCAGGGTTGCTCTGATTTGGCTATCGTGTAACACATTAGCCGGGACGAGCAATATTGTTGCGTTAAGAAAACTGTATGCTAGCGCGGAATGTAATAACCAAATGTTATTACGAACACACCAGACTCACGCTTAATGTGTTCTTAAGGGACTTTAATGAAAATTCACCAGACTCACGCTTAATGAATTTCCAAAAAAAAAAGGGCGGATTGCTTAAAGAAAGAAAAGGATAGCCAGATATAAGATTTTACTTACTTTTATTTTTTCTAATTACTTATTATTAAGGCTGCGCTCTCTCTGCTCTTTGGCCTCTTTCTCTCTCTATATATTCTGAATATACTTGGGTGGCTTCTTAATTGAATTTTGGCTGACTTTTTCTTCTTTGATGCTTCCTCCAGCACTCACTCACTGGTAATGACTTCTTGTTAGGTAATAATCACTTCCTGGTGCCCACTCCACACTGCCCTCCAGTCTTGTACAGAGCTTTTTATAAGCAGTGGGTGGTTGGGTGGAAATCCCTTTCCTCAGGCCCATGAAGCGATAACGGCCAAATTATGTATTGGTGGGAAATTTTCTAATCATATCTAGGATTTCTTTATTGATCTGTGGGCGTGAATTTACAGAGAGAGAAAGGGCGGTCCCCTTTTAACTTGAGCCCTTTTCTCCAGAGATGGCTCTCAGAGTGCCACTTTTAAGAGCAAGAGTAACGCTAAAGTTTATAATTACTTATACAAAATCGTACTAAACTTAATTAATTATAACGATACATAGTGATTATTATAAACATTCAGAAAAATCCAAACCTTTTACGATTTATTATAAAATACATTATTGTTCTATTTATTGGTTATTCGGTGACAAAAAGATGCGCATTATAATAACTTACAAAATTGATGAAAATCTATTTAATATTACGGATATTTTCTAAAATTCGGTGGGAAAAAAAAGATAGATTGCATTTTTATGGTCCCCTTCCATTATCAGCGTGATAGCACTTCACGACGTATACGCGATGATCGTAGGCTCCTGTCAACACATGCGCGTGGGACAAAGTAGGATAGAGCGTTGATTGTAAGGCCGAGTACGCAGGCTCGGACCACTATAAACACTTTATCTCGAACGCGTTTTCATCGTGGGAAATCAGGAAGGTTCCCACTCCGTTCGTCATATTTAATAATTAAATTTTAAAAAAACTAAGTTACGGCTAGCCGTCACACAGGGCTTCAAAAACGATTTTCGAAAAAAAGAAAAGTGTCTAATGAAATTTGAATAGACCACCGTAAGAAAATTCCAGAAAATTCAAAAACATTTTTTTTTCTTTGTTAAATCTATATGGAATGGGACATGACATGAGTTTATAGGTTTACTAGAAGATAAACAGAGAGACACAGCTCGCAGAAAGTATCTGATTGAAAAAACGCCAGAAGCATATAATAGTGTTATATGTCGAGAAAATGAGTTGACTTTTTAAAATACGAAAAAAATTTAATTTAGCAATAAGTTATAATTTAACGAAAATTAATATTAATTAGAAGTTCTCGGTCAATTAATTTGGTCATACAAAAGATTATATAAACAATTAGGTCCTCACAAAGAAACTACATTAAATATAGAGAAATCACAGCTAGATTTCGGTTACAGTTTGTAATTATATTAATATTTATTTTATTCAACGCATGGTAACATTTTTAGACTTGATCATTCTATAACATATTTTCCACTATCAAAATTTTTATAATTTATATTATAATAGAATTATAAATTTGTTACTTACGCCAAACATAGCTCTTAAATCGGGATCTCTGAACCGAAAAGGTATGTTACTAACGTGAAGACGTTTTGGTTGACCCTTGAAATCAGTAGTCTGTGTTGGAATTGCCGGCGTTCCTGTTCCAGAAGTGACTGATGTCAAGTTATTGTTATCTGTACTCCCTTCAGAATTAGGCTCATTAGAACTTGTTGTTACAGATATTGGCTGTTGACTGCTCCCAGTTGCAGCTACCACTGCTGCTGCCGCAACAGCTGCCTGGAATACATCCGACTATTGATAGTCGGGCAATAGATATTAAATTAAAATACGGAAGAAATCGTATATAATGAAACACGTAGAAAATGGAACAAACTTAATAAATTCGACGATTTTTTAATAATTATATTATGGTACCGCGATATTTATACAGGGTGACCCATTTCAATCTATTAAATGGAAAATCTCAAAATTGTGGTTGGATACAGAAAAATGTTTCAGACAAAAGTTGTTCAGGACAAAGGGGGCCATCTAATTATAAACTTAGATTTGACCTTGAAATTTAATTTCAAGGTAATTTAAAGGTGACAGTGTTGTTTTAAATGGGGATCCCTATTTTTGACACCGCAATCGAAAAAGCAGGAAATTTTACGTCCAAAACCATATTGAAATTATTTTCCTATGACTTTTGGATGGTCTTTTCAAGGTAAAATGCTAAAACGTCCTGTGGTTGCTATTTCCTAGTCTTTTCTGATGAATATCAACCCCAATGTTACAATGACCTTGAAAATGTAGACCACAAAAAAGTTGTCCTTAATTTTAGCGTGACCCAGAAACAACGATGTGGACGCAGTAAGGTTTGTTTCCTTTGGAGTGCTTAATTAGCGTGAGTCCTCTAGCTTTTCACTTTAAGTTTTTAAATTAACCATTGAGTATGTTGCAAGAGTGGTCAGCCTCCGTGCGCCTTGGGCTGGTCTCTGCTAATTTTTCTGGGTTCTTTCTCGGTAAAGAAAGCCGGCGCTGACTTTGACAGGCCGAAGTTCGCTCTGGCTGGGGGAGGTTGATACAAAGAATCGGACACTTTAATTCAATTATACTACATATGGCGATCTCATTTATTGACGCCCTTTCACAAATATCGCTACAAGATTAACTTCGCCGCGGCGAGCGCGCTCGCTCAACCTTTCCGCGACCAGAGTTCGCGGGATCACGCGAGCGAGATCGCTCAGCGTGCGCGATAAAATCAAAATACGCTAATGTCCGTAATCGAGCGAGAGCTGGCGCGAGAGAGATAAACTGGCTTTGGATCCACCGGATGCCGACGGTCCGTCGACAGAGAGGCGACGCCGGCGAAAGCGTAGACCCGCAGGAAACGGCACCGTGGCGACGATGGAAGCTGCTGCAGGAAGGGCCGCGGCACGGCCTTTGCCTCGTAGACGGCGAATGGTCGCTGCGTGTACTGGCTCGGCTTCGGACTATAAGTTTCATGGTAAGTGTGGCAGTCGCACCTATGGCAGACGTTCCTTTCCAACCAAATCTCGCTCCGTCCAGTCTCTCTCTAGGCGGCCCTAATTACTTGAGAGCTCGCGCCTAACTGCCTTCTTCTCTCTTAATTTCTAAGCCTCGCGCCGCCGCGCTCCCACTTCTCTCACCGTCAAAAATCAGTCAAAATCGCTCTCTCTCACTCTCTCGCTCTTCTCGCTCTCACTCGCACTCACGACGACACCTCGCCGATCGTCGCGCTCCTCTCTCCAGATCCTGCAACGACACAAGTATGTAGTCGTTATATAGCGTACACTTGGTTGCTGCGTTCACGCGAGGAGAGTGCCGCACACAGGGCTAGCGAATATCGCTATAACCCTGTCACAATGTGTTGAAACTAACGACCGATTGCCCCAATACACAACTAAATTCTTCTCAAAAGATGTGTTACAGTCGAAAGAACTTGTGGTTAGAATTTGCGAAAAAAAATACAGAGGAATAAGAAACTTGTATTGATGAGCCTATGAACTTTCGAGTTCATAGGCTGCTACGCAATAATAATAAAATAATAATAATAATAATAATAATAATAATAATAATAATAATAATAATAATGCCGGGCTGGTCCAGTGAGTGGTAACACCTCACTGGGCAAATGCTAGCTTCCAACGTCCACGACGTGCCCGGTGGAAACGTTGTCCGTCGCGTCAATGCTCTGAGCAGCAACGCTATAACGGATACGGCCAAGAGGAAGATATGGCTCACAAATGACGCAAAAGATAATGGTATTCTGCCGATGTGTCCAACCATTAATCACTCATACACATACACACACACACACTACGCAAACACTCACACACACACGCCTTCTGGCAAACCGGAGAAGTGAATGCTCGGTGACCCTATAAACGGGTCTTACCGAAAAGCGAATGGTCGGGGACTCCTATAAACGAAGTCGCCCGAAAGCGAGAGAAGGGGATATCTCTAAACGGACTCTCCCCGTGAATGAAGCCCGGTTTCGCCTATGGGCACTCACGTACACGCACACACCACAGGGGGGAACACTGAACACACAGGGTAAACATACAGGGGGGGGGACCTCAGGGGCCGTGCGCTGTCCCAGCGCGGTTCGTGGAGTCGCGACCACGAGGGACCTTCAGCACAACGGGACAAAACCAACAATATGAATATGCACAATGAAAACATTGATGTACCTCAAGTGGTAACTCCTTCTCAGGAGGAATCCACCCCGGATTCCGATCGGGTGAAAGCCCCGGTGGCCACGGGCAGCGGCACGGATTTTGAGGGCCGCACTTTGTGCACGGGAATGGGGGGAAAGACAGGAAAAAACGACAAGAAACTACTGAACATACCGAGACGACAGAGGACGGACAGTGGGTCAAGCGGCGGCAGCGGGGTGAGCTACGTCTCTGCCGCTGAGGGCCAAGAACCGACGACAGGACGAACACCGACAAGAACTAGTGATACACGAGACGTGACGGTACCGCTGCGGCGCATACAAGTGCCACCTGCGCGGAAAAACGAGGGCTCCGAAAAGCAGACCTCCAACACTGACGCCGACATGAAAGACGTGGACAATGACAACGGACATATGACAGAAAACCTCCAGCTGTTTCGCACGCAGCTCAGGCGCATTGATGCCGCGCTCGAAAAGATGGAGGCACGGACTAAGATACAGAGAAATATTAGTACGGACATAACGACTAGTATGGCTGTAATAAAGGAGGCGGTGGAGATTGCATGGAGTGAATGCGACCGCCTAAATCCCCTCCTGGAGTCCGTAAACGACAGGAGGACAGAAAGACAGAAAAGAAAGAGGGAGGACACGGGGGCCAGCCCTGAGCAAGCCGTGGCCTATCAAAGGGTTGCGGACGAGTCAGGCTGGACCACGGTGAACTCCGCGAACAGAAAAAAGAGGAAGTCTAAACAGAAGACTAATGACCAAACGACGGAGACGACTTCCCTCAAACAGAAGACGCAACAGACTACCCCTGTGGTGGCGCTGGGCGCGCGGAGGGAGAGGCCACTAGCTTCGACATCCGCAGCGGCGACGCCTATCCACGGGAACAAACGGCCCGAGCTGGACAAGAACCGGCCCAGTGCGGGTGGTTCCCGCCGGAAGGGGGGGACCAACGTTATACTGGTACGGCCAAACGACGGACGAACGTACGCGGATACCCTGCGCAGACTAAAGACGGAGATTAATCCCGAGGGCTCTAAAGTGAGTATCTCGGGATATCGGAAGACTAAGGACGGAGGACTCCTCATGCGCTTTCGCTGTAACGCAGACGCAAGACGGAAGTTCCAGGAGAAACTCCAGGTTACTCTTGGAAATGAGGGTAATGTACGAGACATGACACACGGACAGACACTAGAGATACTAGACCTCGACTGTGTTACAGACACGAATGATGTACAGAACGCATTGAAACGAGAAACAGGACAAGATGCGGACTTTAAGATCCACATTTTCGGACCGAATAAACACGACGTTTGTATGGCAGTGTTCGAAGCAGACAGAGACACGGCCCACAAACTGCTCAAGAAGGGCAGAATTAAGATCGGCTGGGTCAACTGTCGGCTGAGAGAAAGATTGACGGTCCCGAGGTGCTACCGGTGCCTCGGATACGGACATAGACGAACGGACTGCACAGGACCTGACAGAGGACAGTGCTGTTGGAGGTGCGGGGGGACCGGCCATGTCGGGAGAGCCTGCCCCACCAAACAGCCGACGTGCTTCCTATGTTCCGAGGCGCGTGCAACGGAGAGGGCGCACGTCCCGGGAACGGGAGCGTGCGCGGCCTACCGGGCAGCGCTGGAGGAGTGCCGGAAGCAGACACGACAATGACAGGAATCTTACAAGGAAACCTGCGTAGGTGCGAGGCAGCCCAGCTGCTTATATCACAGACAGCGAAGGAACGAAACGTAGACATACTGATACTGAGCGAGCAACTGTGGGACTTACGAGAACAGGACGGCTGGTTCTCGAATACCCTCGGTACGTCGGCCATATGGGTCAAAGGCAAACCGGCTAGGAGAATACAAGCGTCTGGCAGGGGGGAAGATTACGCGTGGGTGAGGGTAGATTCCGTCACCTACGTTAGCGTATATTTGACCCCAAACTGCACGATGGCAGTGTACGAGGAAAAAGTCGGTAAGCTGGAAGACGCCCTCACAGGTCTCCCGGGTGACTTTGTCGTCGCGGGAGACATGAACGCGAGAGCGGTCGAGTGGGGTATGACAACGACGGACAAACGAGGAAGACTGCTTCTGGAAATGGCCGCAAGGCTTGATCTGGTAGTGGTCAACCAAGGGACGACAACGACCTATAGACGACCGGGCTTCGGATACTCAATACCCGATGTGACGATGACGTCAGACAGGATCTCGTCGCGGATAAGAGGATGGCGGGTGACCGAGGACTATACAGCCAGCGATCATCAGCACATCGTCTTTGAGGTGACAAATCAATCGACGAACATACGAAACGGACAAACTAGAGACAGGACTTCAACGTATTGGAACTTACGACGACAAGATAGAGAGCTGTTTGACAAACTGCTAAGGGAGGCACCGTTACCCGCCGAGTCTGTCCCGGCAGAGCTTGGTCTGCGGGAGCGTGCCGAATGGATAACGGACAAGACAACGGAACTGATAACGGAACTGTGCGACGCCACGATGACTCGACGCAAGGGCCGAACACACAAACGAGCAATGTACTGGTGGACGGACGAGATTGGCCTCCTCCGTGGGGAATGCATTGCCTGCCGCCGGAGGATGAACCGCGCACG